CTGATCCCTGCCCATATTCCCAGTGGACACTCATACACCAAATGCAGTAGAACTGTGCCCTCACATGCAGAAGAACAGATCTTCTCTCTCCTCCATTTCACTGTGATGCAACAGAACCACACCAATTCAGGTTTGGCAGTCCCTGCCAAAACTTCTGCACCCATGGGAGCCCTCTTAAATCAGAAATAAAAATAGTCTTTTGACTGCTGGCCAATTAGAGGAGCAATATAGGAATTTGTTGCTGGACAAATGAAAGAATTCTAGAGGGCTGTAGCCATAGAGAAGTCATAGCTAGCCACTGTCTCTCCCTCAGATGACAAGTTCTTTTCTCCTCACAACAGACATAGCAACTGAAGAAAGGATGGAAATTTTTCCTACCCCAGCAAACTTGCACGGGGGAGAGAAAGATGAACATTCAGACAAAAGCTAGGCCCTCAGGCTGAGAGGAATATTATTTCAGTCCTAGGATTGTGGCAACTCCTCCACCTCAGGTCACTCCAGGCAAGAGTATCTCTGCTACTCTATGACACAAACTTCTCAGGTGGGGTCTTTCCTATCTTGAAAAGGTTGAGCTTTCTCATGAATAGAATTAGCCCCTCTTGTTTTATGGTATTCTCATGCCTTGCATGACTTTTGGCTTGGGTCTTGTGTGAGTTGCATATTATTTTTACCATGCATAGTCCTTTGAAAATTTCTGCAATGCTTGTAATATTGCTTCCAGCTGAATGTTTCATAATTAAAAATTGCATAAATGTACCAAGACAACTAGGTTTATTCTACCTTGAAACTTTCTGTTATTATAATCCCTGTAGGCTGCCTTCTCACTTTCTGTAATATACTGGGGGTGGGAGGGGATGGTGGTTTTTTTGTTTCTTTGTGTTATCTGCTGTTGTCTGGTATATGAAAAACACTAGAGTGAGTGGTCGTCTGTTCCTTCTTGGTCAGATGTTTATTAGGTGGCTGCCTCTGATTGCAAAAGACTGGACTGGATGACATGGACTGTCCTTTCCCATCCTACATTCCTCTGTTTCCCTAGAATTTTATCTCACAATCCAAAAAATGATATCCTTTGCTCTGCACTGCAGTGTTTTCTGAGAAGGAGTTCCTTAGACATTGGCACAGCAATTTTGATATTATGTTTATGATTTACAATAAAAAAGCAAGGCAATTCAAGTGGATTCAGAAACACTTCTATATCAGATAGACTGTTGAGGGTAAATGTTATTTTTAGGTAGATTTTGTGGATAGATTTTACTGTTCAAGAAAGTGAAGGGTTAATAGCACCACTCTACACCCAGCTGTTGTGTGGGCCTGACAATATACCAACACCCCTGACATTACAGGCCTGACTGTCCTGGTCTGTCAGGTCAGATCATATTGCAGTTTAGTTAAGTGGGCTAGAAAGAGGGCACCCACCTTATTTGCACTTGTGACTTAGAATAATCAGGATTTGAATGTCAGTCTCTTGTGATAAAAGGCTAATTTACTAACCCCCAGTGCCACGCTCACCTCTTTTCTGCATATGTACTGGAAATCATAAAGTATGTAAGATTATCTACTGTTCTGAGGCCTCTGGTAGCCTGAGCCTTAATATTATTTTTACATCATTTTTTTATATTTAATTGTATATGCTCCAGTTGAATTACATTAATGGATTAGAATACACTATGATCTTATGAGAATTCCACTACAATAGATAGATGGTTGGATGGATGGACGGACAGATGCAGGTTTAAAGCACAAGAGGATTTGCATATTTAGTTCTGTTTTACAGCCTTCTTTAGAGAGTGGGATTAATGATCTGCTAAATTATCACAGTTGAGATTCTTCAGCATTAGTGTGAATTTGTCTCCTGCTAGAGCTAGACTTACGACTTTTCTAGAGACATGTAAGAATAATAATGTTGTGTTTTTTTGAGTTCTTTGCAACAGAAGAATTGCCATATTATTTTTCCATAGCCAAGAAACAAGTAAAAGTTAGAAGCAGACATTTTCTGTGGGGTGCCTTGAGTTTAAAAAGTTTGAGAACTACTGACGTACCCAGTGACAAAGTTAACTCTGTGGAGAAGGAATCAGGTTCCCTAAAACAGTTTGCATTTTGCCTGCCCCAAGACACTATATTAGGTCATCACTAGCCACGTCTACACCAGACGGTGACTATGCAGTAGCTTGATACTAGGCTCGTTACTACTGCATAGTAGCGTCAAATGGCAGGAAGCATGATGTGACGCTACTGTGTAGTAGTAATGAGCTACTGCGCAGTCAGCGTCATCTAAAGGCCATTTGGTGATGTTACTGTGTGGTAACTCCAGGTCCTGTGCAGCAATTCAATACTTGTTTATGCAAAAGCTAATGAGTGCGCAGTCAACATCTCATGTAGACATGGCCACTGAGAGCAGTTTCTCAGAAACATTGATTTTGAAGGGAGGATAAGGAATTTAGGGTTGGTAAGGACCAGAATTTCTTATCTGAATTCTGATATGCCTAGCGTATTTTTTTGAATTAGTATTAACTTAGTATTTGTCCTGTGTGTCTGAGGCATCAGATCCACTAGGATAAAGTAAGATAAGAAGTTACTGCCACATGGCACATAAACCAGAGCTCCATTGGAGCTGAAGGAAATGATCCTCTTCTTCACAAAGCAGACGGCAAAAATTATCCAGAAGATTCTTTCACTGTGAGCTAGGAAGTATTGACATGTAGATTTATGGCCTGCCCTGTGCTGTACATGCTCTGTACATGTCATTAACCTCTGAATCGCGTCATTTGCCATGAGGAATCAAACCCTGAACCTCAGGGTAGTTTAAAAAAATGCAACTTAACTGTTTGAGCTACAAGATCCCTGTTTGTTAAAATTGCAGCCAGTAGCTGGCTCATAAAGCTCTGTGTATTCTGGTCCCTGAGAGGACATAGCCCTGAACTGTACAAGGATTGGTTTCACCCACCACATCTTTTGGTCCTGTAAAATAATAATAAACTGCAGCTTGGAGTTACATTTCTGTGTAGGAGAAAATAAAATTCTGCATAGCAGAATAAGGGAAAAGACGTGCAGAGTATAACACTGAATGCTCAACAAGAAGCCAGTGGCCCCACAGACAGAGAGGAATGAGTAGATCATGCAGATATGTTAATTTAGTGTAAGTACACAATGTACTTGGTGTCCAAGAAACTGAGGAAAGGAACAATTCCCTATGCTTAGTTTTGCTCTCTAGACAGTGTATGCTCTGGTGATTGATTGACAGCTAGTTTATCATTCTTGGTGAGGGGGGGGACCTCATCCAACTCCTGTTGAATACAGTGGGAGTCCTTCTATTAGCTTCAATAGAAGCTGGAGGGGAACCTCCCAAGTGGACTGCTGGCAAACCATGAAAAACCAATTCTACCTTTTACCCTATTCAAGTACCCCCAACAGGCTGGCATAATTGTTTTCAAGCCCTCCTTTTGGTTCCTAGTCAGGGGCTGATACTTAAGGTATAAAAACATTATTTGGTTCTGTAGAATACAATTTTGAAAAATAAGCTGGCAGACGCACATACAATGCAGAGTCAAAAGACCGAAATCCCAAGTGCAGCATTATAGCTATCACTCTTTGGCCCCTCAGGGAAGTATTAAATGAACATGTTCTACAATGTGGGTGAAACCAGTACTTGCATTACTTGTTTATTTACTAGTCAAATATAATAATGATTATCGTCATATTTTATCTCGATTATTCCCGCTTTTCCTTTAGCTCATCCTTTTAATTTTTCCCTTTCAGCTTCTCTTCCTTTTCTTCTGTCTGTGAATTTCCCCTTCTCTTAAGCTGTTCACTCCTTTTCCTTTGTCTCTTTCCCTTGTTCCTTACACATCTCTTGTCCCTATTTCTGTTTCTTTCTGTCACACCTCCTTTCATTCTCTGCACAGCTGGTTTAGATAGTGCTGCTAAATCCGTGGCTGCATGAACCCCTGGAAGTACAGGATTCCCAGCCTTCTAAGGGTGGGTTGAAATGCTTTTGTGATGTTTACTGCTCCCATTCCAGAGCCACATGGTATAGGATAGATATACTTCATTCTGTCGGACCTCTGTTAGGGTAACTTGTGCTTCCTGGTGACTTTTTACATTGATCACGACCCGGGCACAGACTCCCCTTACCCTCCTGTTTAATAGGAAATTTGCATGATTCCCTCAGTTGCCTCCACACACTCTCACACCAGTTCTGGGTATTATTTTTATTACACCTGCTACTGGTTCTGTGCAACATAGGCTCCAGGCATGGACCAGAACCCCCATGTGCTTGGTGCAACACAAACAAATGACAGAAAGACAACCCCTTCCTAAACAGGTTATCAGCTAGGTATGAGATGAGAGACCATGGATGGCTACAGTCAGGTAAGTACAAGGAAAGGGAGAGGCCATAATACAGAGCTTATTTGGATAAGCTCTACCTTGACTTATTCTCCGAGCTGGCCTGGCATAAGCGTTGGGTAGGGATGGGGAGAAGACTGCACGCTGGCTTTGGGCTTTGTGTCTTTGCACTGTCATGTAGGTTCACAGGGGCTCTTTTCCCCACTTCATTTTGTGATCTCTCCCCCTTGCCCCACCCTCCAGTTCTTCTGCCTTTGCCCTTGTTTAGTTTGAGCTCTCCCTCTCACTTAAACTGTTTGTTTAATCCCTGAACTCTCTTTCCTTTTGACCACAGCACCTGCTGTTAACCAATCACTTGTTGCTCCTTAGGTTTATGTCTCCTTCCCCTCTCACGCAATCCTCACTCCATCCCCAACCCTTCCCGTCTCAATACCTGATTTCTCCCAGATTCTCCATTTCTCCCTCCCACACTCATTATGTCTCTTTCCTTCTTCCCTTTCCCTTGTGCTTTCCTTGTGAGTTGGTATCAGCTGATTTCTCTGTACGCTGTCACCCAGCTGCTTCGCTCTCGTGCTTGGCACAGTATAAGTGACGCATTACAGCAGAGCAGGGAACATGGAAGAGATAAGAGTCAGTGCACAAAAAGGAAAACTCACCCCAAATGCCCTTAAGCAGCAGTGCCTCACCCATCGCAGGGGGTGGGAATGTAAAAAAAGGGACTGTTTTTCATTGGCAGGTAGTGCGCTGGATCTCCACTTCGGCACTGGGCAGTAGGGGTAGAGACATTTGCCAACCTAGAGACAAGGAAGCACCCCTGTACAACAGCACATGTTGCACTGGTCTAGGACAGCCTATGACTATCTAAGCCAAAGTTCAGATGAAGGGCAGCAATGTAGCCAGAAAGTCATGTGGCTCTCATGTTGGTTAGTATGTCACTTTGAACAGCTCTTATCTGATATTATTATGACTAACCCAGTGCTGACAGCATGGAACAGATTACAGAAACCATGTGATGATTATTTAAGGCATCACTGAGTATAACATGCAGCTAATATTAACCCATTCTTTCTGGAATAGCTTTACTTGTAAATTATACTTGTAGAAAGGGCTTTTGTGAGAGGACATGTGGTAGCTATGTTCACGTGTATTTCCATAGTGCAGATGACAAGTCTTTTTAATCATTTGCCTAGAGCATAGATTTGTGGACTGCAGTTGTACAGCTTGCTTTTTTCTTTTTTTAAAATAATATCCATTGTGGCAGGTGCACATATTTCAGTACTTCTTTTAAGAGCACGTGCCAATAAAATTCAGAGGCCTTTCTGTTTTGTTATGGTTGATCTTTAAAGTTATTGAGAACTCCACTGAAGTCATATCTGGTGAAATAGACTTTCAGTGTTCTACATAAATGTCAGCAGCAAGAAGGTGATACTTTCCAAGAGGCAGTGATTTGCACATTGAATGGGAGTGTGAGGCGAACACACATATTGTACCCTTTAAACAGTCTGACACCTGCATGGGGTATTTCAAAGCAATGCCAAAATGCAGTGTTATATAAAGTGCAGAAGAGGCCGTGACTGCTAAACTGTTTTGACGAATGTGATAATGCAACACATGATGATATTAAGTGAAGCTTCTGCTTTACGTCTGTTGAACAAGGTATTAATCATGAGTAAACAGAATGGGCCAAATCCTGCTTTTGTACTAATTTAGATAGTCCTGGGCATAAATGAATGAAGCCCCTCTTGTGGAAGCATGCACATGCGTAGCATTACTGGTGGGAGTAATTGCAGTGGAACTGTTCCTGGCAGCAAAGTTACAGGAGCATTCAGGAGAGTTAACAATAAAGTACTTTCAGGATTGGGACCTAACTTCATTTCCCTAAAAGGAGGTGTGTGTGTCTGCCAAATATAGGCTGCACATGGTGAATGAGCTGTGGATACCTTTGAGCTTGCATGTGTCTGAGGGTTGCTGCAGAAGCCGTGTGAGGCATTCCCTCCCTGGAGGTGGAGCGTGCTGTCTGAAAAGCATGGCTGTCTGTTGCCAGCAGAGGGGGAATAATTTAGTTTGTAAGATTCTGATGCTGGTTATTTGGGAGCTAGCAACAGGAACTACAGACTTGAGAAAGTTTATGCAAGGGGATCATTTTTCTTTTATACTCCTCCGAATAGAGTGGTGTGAAATCAGCATTATCACATGCAGTTTTCCTGTACTTTTGAGGTCAATGGAAACATTGCTGGAAAGGAACAGGAGCAAATCTGCTAGGAAGATAATACGGTGGATGGTGGCTATAACCTGCCAGGCCCTGAATCGTCATACTCCCCTGTTTCCCCTCCTTCTTCTAATTGCAAAGGCTTAGCCCGACTTCCAAAGGTCTGGGAAGGATTCAGTTTATGCAAATCCTCCCCTCTATTTTGCATGTATCACTTTTGGTCTCCATGTAGGTGCATCTCCTGGGGGATGATCTGAGGGAGTTAGGGTGCAAAATATGGTCTAGAGCAGCAGGTCTCAAACTGTGGGTCACGGCCCCAAATGGGGTTGCAACTTCAGCAGATGGGGTCACGAGGGTGGGGGGCTGTGGGTTGGGTGTGTGTGTGGGGGGCATGCTGAGGAAATGGGGCCACAAGTGGGATCATACTGAGGAAAAGTTTGGGAAGCACTGGTCTAGAGGTTTGTGTGACTAGTTGTGGGTGAACCGCTACAAGATTAGAGACTGGACTTTAAGTGTCCAAAATCCAAATCCTTCTCTGAACCCTTTGGTAAACCCTCACATTGAGACTATCTCAGAGAGAGTCTTCCTTGTGAGATTTGTTTCCCTTCCTATTTTATTTGCGGAGAATGTGACAATACCACAAGAATGGCTGAATTGCAGTATTCTGTTTCCTCTTCCAGCCAAAATATGAAGTGCGTAAGTATGAGGAAATGAAACAAATGAATATTAGCTAAACTTAAAAGTCAGTTTGATCTTTGGGCAATAGTTTAGCTCTATTTTCCTGATTCACCAAGTCATAACAGCTTCTTTCGTCTCACTTTATCTGTAAAATGGAAATAATAAATTGATAATTCACAGGTGTGTTGAAAATCAAAAGAATACCTGTAAAGTGTTTTGAGAGCATTGTCTAAAAAGCATTGTAGAAAGTCAAAGACTTGTTTTCTTTTACCTGCATTGATTCACACAGACCTCATATTCACAAAAACCTATTTACTGCACAGGCTTATTCCTTTACAAAATGCTTGTCCTAATGCTCTTTTATTTTGAGTGGCACTTATGAAATGTATTCTGGTGTGAAGCAGATGTATCCATTTAATAGTTCACTTTGATGGCTCCTTTAAGAGGTTTTATAATCTTTATATTTTACCATTGGGTTTGGAATTTTATGCTCCTTTAACAGGTGTATTACCATGATCAGATGTTTTCATTTTAAACTATTGACTTATGAGCATATGGCCTGCAGGGATTGATGTGCAGCAAATTTATTCTTTTTAACAGATTTATTCTTAGATTCATTTTTTTTTATTTAGTGCAGGGATTCACTTAAAAGGATAGATGATTAATAATAACAGGTCATTAGTAAAAATGAAACTCTCCTACAGTTAAAGGCTTTTTCTCCAGAATAAAAATGGGTCTGTAAGAGACCAGTCACAATATGAGAACACTCATCCCAGTTCAAAATAAGATGCTTTGAGGCCAGAGCTTAGTTTTCTGCTTTATGTTTAGTAAAGCTGCTTTTAAAATATTTCTACCCAGTTCACAGGTACCAGTTTTTGCGCGTTCTTTTATCATTCAAACAGTTCAACATATTTGAATAGGATGTGCACAGAGATTACTTTAAAATGACTCATGATAAAAGCTCCCTACTTGATGAATTTGTACAATCAGAACCTACATCCATTTTAACAAAGTCCAGTAAAAACCTCAATCTTTTCTGTGTATGAGAGAATACAGCAGTAGGGCCCTGAAATGAAAACAGCTTGTGTAATCAGGAGAATATAAATGGTAACAGTGTCCTTTACTCCTTTTTACGATGGTAGAAAGGGAAGGAATTCAGTGGGCAGCCACATGACCAAGTCCTGTGTTACTGAGAAGCTTACATTTTTGCATTGTGCTGTAGCACAGAAACTTGTGTATCCAGGAGGAGGTAAATTGTTCCAGTGCCTTGTGACCAGAAACTGTGTCTGAGGGAAGGAGCAGAATAAAGGACCATTATTTTAGCATAGACATTAGAAATCTGTGCAACAGCTGGAAGCATTAATTAACAAAATATTTTCTCATAATGTCCCCAACATCCTTCTGAAAACAGAGTGGTGTAGCTATTTGAAATAAAACCTGCAAATAAGGCTGGGTTGTTTGCAGTTCAATGTACTGCCTATGCAGACGAAATGCAGGGAGCAGGCATGGATAGGCAAGACATGCAAGGCTTGAGTTTTTAAGGTTTCATGCCAGGATAGATTTAAAGTGAGCTTACTCCCTAAGCAATCCTTGCAACATGAATGTGTGATTCTTACGTTGTTGCCAGTATGGGTGGCATTCTTTAGAATCTGGTTGGAGTCCAATCTGTGTTACTGCATGAAATGCGTTTGATAGGGTCAGGTCAATCCCCTATGTATGATAATCCACATCATAAAACTACTGTAAATGATTCAGCATGGCTTAGTATTATTTCCAGCCAGTGCCCAGAGAGGCGAGGGTGGAGCTAGCATCAAGAATGAATTGTACATGCTTCCTACTCTTATGTAACTAAGGGTTTAGGTCGCATACAAGTACTAGAAAAAAATGACCACAGCCTGCTTTTGCCGCGCAGTGTACTTGCTTCCACAGAAGAAGGTTTCAAAGAGGGGTAGGAGGATTGGAAGCAAGGTCATAAATAGTTATATTTTAGTTCTATAAATGAGCTGATTTTCTTGTGGAATTTAAAACTGATTCTGGAAGTTGCCACAGATGTTTGATGTGATGTTGAGAATGTATCCTCACTACTAGCTAGGGAAGCTTTGCATATTGTAGGAAGTGCTTAGCATTTTTCAGATTCAGGTCTTTTGCTTCTAAGGGGCTTGGAGTAGAATCTGTGAATTTACAGCCAACCATATAATCACCAGCTAGTTATTTCCACTATTGGTGGCCACTGTAGTTTGCCAGTTTTATTGACTAATTTATTTTAAAAGTTTTGTTCAGATACTTTTGCAGAATTCATTTTGTCAGACCTGAATAACTACTTGATGGGCAAATTATCATTTGTTTTTATCAACAGCTTGGTAAGAATGACAGATTTTTTAATGGGGGATAATACATTTTCATGTGATTTTTAAAAGCCTGTGTTGCAGGGCACTACTGTGTAGGACTCCAGAATAGTGGACAAGGAAAAGTAAGTTAAGAAAGTTGAACACAATGAGACTAAGGCCCGTGGGCAAAACTAAGAACCGTGGAACACAACAAGTAAGTATCAAAACTTCTTCAGTTTTTAGCAGTTTATTATGAGTCTAGACTTACTGTTGCAGAGTTAACTTGCTTGGCAACGAATAACACAGCTCTAGGGAAATATTTGATTCCCATCTACTACCAAACAAGGGGATGTTGTGTTATAAGTGGATGTAGATAGAGTTTACTAAAATAAAGAGACCCTGTCTGTTGTGGCAAGTCCAGTCCAGCCTGTTTGTTCCCTTTCTCAGCCATAGATGGAAATCATCTTGAGCATATTTTTTGTTAAAAAAATTTCTTGCAATTCTGATGGGGAAATCAATGCAAATACGCAGCTGTATAGTCACAATGGCTTGGTACATACATTCAAAAAGATGGAATCAATTTAAGCTGTGCGGTTTTCTGTGAGCA